GCTGCTGCCTCACATTAACATCTCCCCATCTGAGGCTGCACAAATCCACACACCAGAAAAAAAAAAAAAACCAAAAAAAAAAGGGTTTAAAGAACTTGCTGTTGTCAACTGAGAGTCAAACGCTGGCACGCTCTGCCCTGCAGATAATTGCTTTGTGAAGCTCTCACCGCTGCTTCCCTCCGCTCAACAGGGAGGAGGTGAGGAGAGGCCAGGGTGGGGTAGGTGCACGGCAGGTAGAGAATTTGGGGTGGGCAGGGCATTCTACCCATAAAGGCCCAGCTCTGGAGCCAACAGACAGCTGAATTAGGGTGAGATCAGAGTGTGGAGGCTGCTTTCCTCCAGGATGGGATAATCCCAGACTATAAAGACTAAAAAACTTGCTTTTTTAGGTCCTGTGTGCCAGGTGAGGCTGGGCTGAGGTGCCAGGCAGTGCCACTGTCACCCTGTGCCCCTTACCAGTTTGTCACTGTAGGGAGAGGGCTCAGGGCCTGCCATGTCGTAGTAGGGAGTCTGCAGAGGGAACTTCTGGATCTCCTCCTCGTGTTTCATGTTGTCCAAGTGAACAACCTGGAGCAGAGGGCAGAGAAGAGGGATGGGAAGAGCAAGGGTTATCTTCTGGCACAGCTTGGGGCAAGCTCTGCCTCATGTGACACCACAGCCAAACACCAACTCCTTCAGACTTCAATATCCACCAAAGGGACAGAGCAGAATCCAAATTCCTGATTTTAATTAGTGCCAGACTCTGGGAGTTCTGGGGGGACAAGTCACAGGGTCATGGAATCATAGAGTCAGAACAGTTTGGGTTGGAAGGGACCTTAAAGACAATTTAATTTGAATCTCCCACCAGTCCAAGTTGCTCAGAGCCTCATCCAACCTTGAAAAACCCTTACTTTCTACTCCTCAAACTCAAGCCATGGACTTCTTTGCCCTTGCAACTCCCATTTCCCAAAATCCAGGCACTGTGGACACTGCTGGGAATCAGTTTTCCATGCCAGAGGCAGGAATTTTTACCTGGATGTCTTCTGGAGTCAGGTGGCTTTTCATGTCCTGTTTCCTCTTTGGTGGAGGGGCAGGTTTGTGGGATGGAGGGAGGTCAATCCTGCAGGGAAAGAAGAGGCTGCTGAGTAGAAAGCAGGAGAAAAGGCTCTGCTGCCTTGATGTGCCCAAGGATTTGATTGTGTTTGTCACCAAATTGCCAATACAATCACATAGATTATCCTCAGGAACTCCCCTCATGCCCTTTGCCTCACCCCAATTACAATTGTTAATGGAAATAAACTCCCTGCTAGCATTCTGTCCCTACTCCAGGCAAATCCCCGTGTCAGATCCCGAGGCTGCAGCTGGGATACCTGCTGGGGAATGGCTGCAGATCGTCCCTTGGGAGGTGGTTTGTGTTTTGGCTGTGAGTTATCACTGTCACCACAAAGTGATAACGAGGTGATGCCCGGCAGCTCCTCTGGGATTGTAGCTCTGCCACGGCTTCCCAGGAGGAATTTGAATCCTCCTCATGGACATGCTCTGCCAGGCAGGGACATTTATCCCTGACCCTTGCCAAGGATCAGCTTTTACCCCAGAGCACAGGGATTGGCAGCCACGATAATCCAGCCTAGAGACTGTCTCTGCACATTCTGTTCACATGCACAGATGTGTCTAATCCTTTTACAAAACTTATTAAAACTCTGATCCACTAATTAGCTGGCTCCCCCCCTCCCTTCTCTGGGTGCAGACTCCACCAGATCTGACGGAGATGAGCTCCTTCCCTTGGATTCCAGCGTGGGACCGGAATGTGCTGGTGGCAGGGAGGGCAGAACAGGTCCCCGGGGCTCTGTGAAACATTGACTTCATGGCTCTATAGAAAAGAAATGCTATTACCTTCGGGATCAGCCTCCACAATAGAGGCAGCACCTCTGCAGAGCTGGGCATGGTTGTTTTTCTATTCTCAGCTAAAGTGGCTCTTCCCTGAGCCTGGT